ATGGAGAAAAGGAAGAGAATTGCCTAGCCAATTAGCCTACTGTGGGTTTTGTCTAATTTTTCAGTTTTGCATAACCACAGCGTTAACCAACAGTTCACTCCTACTAAAGCCCAGTGCTACACAGAAGAAAAGAACTCGTTTGTATATTACAGTGCAATCGCCATATCTACTAATTTCCTTCGATACACTACAGCCTCTTTTGAAAGGAGATTGCTGGCATTATCCCTATTTTATAAATGAGGAGACTTACAGTACAGCAAAATGAATTCTCAGGAACTGAGAGTTACTGATAAAGTAGAGCCTGATATCAGTGTAACTGATAAAGTAAAGAATAAAACTCCGTTATCTTAAATTCTCAGCACAGTTCGCTTACTGCAAGCTTCAGTGCTCACTTACATCTGGGATTACGAGTGAAGTCTGCAGCAAACCTTTTCCCCCTGTATTTCTAAGTAATTTATTTTCCAATGTTCTTAATATCACCACACACTGAAGTGAATAATTAGAAAATTGCTTGATTTCTGTATGTTGTGTCCACAAGGACATAACAAGGATGTTTCAGTGGTGATGGTAGTACAAAATAAGGTTGACTTCAAAGCAGAGTTCTAGTACTATCTTTCCCTTTTTTTAAAAGGGTCTCATGGTCTCATTTTGGTGCTTTCACAAATAAATTTTCATGGATTGAACAGAATGTATTGTTTGAAAAAGCCCTGCAAATTTTCATCTCAGCTTCATAGCTCTTCATCACACATAAACTATCCTGGGAGCATCTGTCTATTGCTGTTCTATTTCAGATGGTTATGCTATGCCCATCCTGGTCATAGGTCTCCTTCTCTTCCAATAAGTGATGCTATTGTACCAAAGGGTGAGAGAAGAGGGCTCTTTTTGTCGATTAAGAAGGTCAGTTGTAAGATCTCTATGCTCATTTCATTCCTTAGAGGCAAGATTTTCCAGAAAGGTCAGAACTCTGTTCTTATATGAATAGTTTTCCTTTCGGTGTTTTGACCTTCAGGTAGGATTCAGGAACTAGATTGAGAATCAGATGAAAAAATCCTGGCACCAATGTGGAGATTTGCTTGCTCCTCTTACTCCAAGGAGAATAAATCAGAGGAGAAAGACAGAAATTACTGTCTTATGTGTCCGGACAGTGAATTTTCTGTATGATTTTCAGGTTTTGCATTGACCTAGCTAGGACTACATGCACACTTCTACAGATGACATATTTCTGTATTTGTTTATTCTCCCAGCCCACTGCCACCAGACTCCTTAAACTGTGCAAATTAAAATGTTCCATAACCTATATGCAAGTCTTTTGCTAGTTAATCTTCTCTTGCAGTTAGTCATCTGTGTTGTTTTTTTTTTCTAAAGAAAATCTCGTACCAACTTTAGATCTCTATTCCTCTTTTGTGATAAGCATCTAGGCAAGATCACACTGCTCTGAAGAGTAGGTGGACAGTATCAGGCTTGTTGCTTCAAGATACTGCAACTTTTAAGTGTGTTTGCTATCTGAGGGCTAGCAAGTGAACATCAGGATCTTCTGAGTTTCTAAAGCTAACAACTTTCAAAAGCTCTTTTTGATCTCCCATGAACCACATCCCTGCTATCTGAAAACAGTTTTCTGTGTTTAGCCAGACTGAACAAAGCTCAGCAAGATCTCTGCCTAGACCCAGTTTTAATGGTCCCTTTTAGTTTTATGGCAGCTCCAAACTATTGAGTCCCAGTGGCAGGGCATGGTGGTGCATGATTAATGGTACTACATGTACAGAACAGCCATGAAGAGATACACCCTGTAAGGCAGCAAAGCAAAGACTGAAGCAGCACCTTGCAGATACCTATGCTGGGGACAATCAAAGAAAGAGTCATCAATATCCCAGAATGAAAAAGAGTCTGCATCGATTTTAGGAGTGGAGAATGTTGAGATGCCATCCATCACAGCTCGCTGGCAGTATGTTTGGGGAGGGTAGACCAAAGCACGGAGGAATGCCAAAATACTCTTAAAATTTGGCAAGTTCATGAAAACAAGATTGTCTTCCCTATAAGATAGAAAACAAAGTCAGAAGTGATTACTTAACTCCTAGTACTCTTGAAATTATTGCTTATTCTTATGCTCAACTGTTCCTTAACAGCTACATTAATTTAAATATTTTACAAGAACATTTAAAATTTGTTTACCGAAACATCCAAAATACAAAACTCTTCATTTTATATGTATATGGAGAGTTGATTGTTTTTTCCTTAAATGGGATTACAACTGTGATTTTATAAAGCTATTATTAGTCTCAGCATTAACACAGCTGTAGCTGCCAGAATTGATTGAATTTAGAAATTACTCAGTTTATTTTAAAGGCTAATATGAACTTTTATAGAAGTTTCAACATAGTTTACCTGGCCAAGCTTTAGAACTAGTTATGGCCTCACTATTGTACATTTAAAAATGGATTGACTTTACATTTTTTACCACTGTTACTACTTGCCAGTCCTTGAAATATGCCAGGCAGTTACATTTCTCTGGAAGCTTGTGTGTAATTGTATTTGAAAAAAAGCAAGTTGTAAATTATTCGGGCTATCAGTGTTCACTCTATATAAATCGGGCATTAGTGGGTGAGGCTGAAAGACTGCATTTCTATTTTTGTATGTTTGTTTACTTTCTAAACAGGAGAAATGCATACTCACCTGTGGCCAGACTGAAGGGTTGAGTAAGTGGTGTGAATGCATAAATGCAAAGATGATCGGATGTGTGCAAAGTTACATATAGCATGTAAAGTCAGTTGTTTGTTGTTTGCTTGGAGAGAATGATCTTTCTTGTCTCTCCATGTTTAATCATTGCAAAGCAAAAGGAACCACTCTAACAGATAGCGTTACAGTTGTGTTTTTCCAAGAGTTATAACCCAAGTCCAAGACCTAGTTTATAGGGCTGACTACTCTTTCTGCTAACAGTGCTACTTGTTTGTAATGAGGTTTCACAGTGAAATAATTTCTGACTGACTTATCACACTGTAGATTTTTTTTAAGCACGCAGCTGGGATTGATGGTGAAAAGTGGAGTATAGCACTACAGAAAGACATAGGAATCAATTGGTGAAACTGTTCAAGAGTTTAAAATCAAATGTTTGAAGAACAATAGCATTCTGTTATTCCATATATCATCCCTGGTGTGTGCATATACAACTCCTTGAACAATTCATCAGAGCGCAGTCTGCTGTGGGCAGTGGTGTTTTGTTCACAGAGCCACAGGGAGAGAAGAACAATTAGAAATAACTTGAGATCAAATATTTCAGCTTTTGGAAACCATTTTAGCAACAGTATCTGGAGTTTTTCATGAGGGCTTCTTTATGACCTCTCGACTCATTCTGAATAGCTCATTTATATCTGTGTCGAACAGCTCCATTAGGATGATAAATGTGGCTAGAATCTCAAAATACAACAATGAGTAAACCTGCCAGATGATGTTTCTCAACGCTATTTCTCAAGTGTCTCTCACCAATATTTCTTTTCCTTACAGACTTTTTTTGTGTGTGTGTGTGTTTTTTTTAAAAAGGAGCCACATCCTCGCCTGTGGCCAGACTGAAGGGTTGTGTAAGTGGTGTGAATGCATAAATGCAAAGATAATCAGAAGCTCATCTTTGCAGTGCCTTGACGTTGCTGCTTCTCAGTGCAGGTCTGTTCACTTCCACTGTACAGAAGGTCCTCTGCAGAGCTGCAGTTTGTGCTAGCTGTGGTGATGATTTGAGACTAAGGAAGCCTGGCACTCCCACAAGGAGAATGTCTTGTTCCTCTGCCTGGGCCTTGCCGTCCCAAACACAGTCACACCAGCTCACTGTGTGTTTTAAGTGCCTGTAAGGCTCCCTAGTTGCTGGTGCAAAAGACCTGCAGATCTATGTCATAATGGGCTGGTTTTAATTTCAGCTTTTTTTCTCTCACCCAAGCCTGTAATGTAATGTAGCAGTAACGAGAAACATGCATGATATCTCTTTGGTTTTATTCTTGGCTACCCACCAGGCACCAAATCTTGGATTCTTCACTGTGCAATTTTCATTGGTTTGAAGTGGAGGTAGATCATATTCATTCCCATCTGCTAATTTTGAATACTAGTGATGCTTTAATATTGCATGAGTTCAAATGACTGCTTAAGTTTTGTGGCAGCAAAGAATAATGTCCATAAATGTCTCAACTTGGAGCACAGCTTAGGCCTAGCTATTTGGTTTTAGGAAATGGATTTCTAATTGAGTAGAATTTTTATTTTAAAGAAACCCTCTTATTTCCATCCCTGCCTCTTCCTACCTCTCCTCACAGTTCCACAGCCCATATTGCCAGTGCCAGTATTTCTTTTTCACTCACAGAGGGGAAGGTGGTTGCTGGGAGAAATTTCTGGCAAAGACTATGATAGCTGCATTTTTAGGAGATATTTTCCACAGTGGGGAGTAGGAGGATGGGGAAAGTAGGTGGGAGAGTGGAGAAAGAGATAGAAGTGGTTGCCTGCCTTGCCTCTCAGTCAATGAGAAAACTAAATGTAGACCCTTGTCTTCACAAGGTAAGTAACCTGCTGATGTTAGACAGGAAATGTTCGGACACCCATGAAGCAATGTGACAACTGCCAGGTTGAGACTCAGCAAGTTCAAGGGTCATTTGCACACTCAGAAAGAACTGCTCTTTGTAAGTACATGTTTTTATTCTGAGGTATCTGTTCAGGCTTGAATATATTTCAAAATAGGGCAGATGCAAGTGAAGAAAGAAAAAAAAATCAGACTAGTTTGGTCTGATTTTTCTTACTCCCTTTTATTGCACATTTGAGAGCTGGTCCTCAAAACTTGCGTGTTACTGAATGCTGGGATGTTGAACCCACAGGAGCTGGGAAGCTTGAATGCTTGTTTGAATTTTATGGCTCTGACTCCTCTTTGCCAGTACCCAGAACAGTAAACACAACATTGTTCTTATGTCTGTTCTCTCTTTCACCTTTGTGTCAAGAGTAACCAATTTTTTTTTCCTTTCTTTTTTTCTTTTAAGGATGATACCAGCTACAAACAAGGCTTTTGTTGTAACCAACCTTGTTTCTGGAACAGGCTATGACCTCTGCGTCCTGGCAATGTGGGATGACACAGCCACGACCCTTACTGCCACCAATATTGTGGGATGTGCCCAGTTCTTCACCAAAGAAGACTACCCTCAGTGCCAGTCGATGCACAGTCAGTTCCTGGGTGGGACCATGATTCTGATAATTGGAGGCATCATTGTGGCAACTCTGTTGGTATTCATTGTAATACTCATGGTCCGCTATAAGGTCTGCAACAATTCCCAAGGGAAGATGTCTAATGTCAGCAATGTCTACTCACAGACAAACGGAGCACAACCAGTTCAGAATGGAGTCCTGCCCCAAGTCAATCCCAAAGTGGTGGTGAGGAATGAACTTATGGAGTTTAATTGTCAGTCTGCACGGAGCAGCATCTCCTCTTCCTCCAGCTCTGCAAATAGTCGTGACTGTGACAACTATAGCCTCCAAAGTGAACAGGGCACATTGTCCAGTAAATGGAGGCCTCCTTCCAGGTCAAAACACAATATTGACCGGTTAATGGGAGCTTTTGCCTCCCTGGAACTGAAATGTCAGAAAAAGGAGGAAATGACAGACTCCAGAACTTCCACGGTGGCCCGCCACTCGGACAAAGAGCCACTGCTGGGCCAGACGGAGTCAAAATTGCGCAGCTTCCTCATGTTGCCTCTGGAGGGCAAAACCAAACGTAGCCATTCTTTTGACATGGGGGACTTTGCTACATCTCAGTGTTGCACCTACCCAAAAAAGATAACAAACATTTGGACAAAGAGGAGCCTCTCGGTCAACGGCATGCTTTTGCAGTATGATGACAATGACCTAACAGGGGCAAAAGGGACTTTCGGGAGCTCAGAGTGGGTAATGGAAAGCACGGTGTAAATATCAGTGTCTCCCCCCTCCTCTTCTCCCTTCATATGTTATAAAGCGTGGTTTGCTTCAGGACCATGCAATTGGAAAGAGAGGGGAGGAAACATTTTCAGTTGTACTGGCCAAAAAGATAGATAAGCAAGTAAGTAACAGGGATATTAAAAGAGCAAGAAGGTCATGAAATGTGAATAGGCACGTATGGCACCATTCCTGTCTGGCCCCAACTAAACCATGCGTGAATGTTTCAAGGAATTTGCTAGTTGTATTTAGCATTACTTTCCAAAAGATACTTAGACTCTTGGTGAACCACCACACAAGATTAAACAAGGAGGATGAAAAGGGGTTTAACAGGAGAAATTCAATATTTACAGGGTTCCTTTTTTTTCTTTTTTTTTTTTTTTTTTTAAAGGGCACCTCTTTCTTTTCTTTTAACCACAGAAATACAGTTCTGTGGATATGACTGGTGCTAGGATATATCTGGTTGTTATTGCAAATGATTTTCTCAAAAGTGCAGGCATGGCACCCACAGGGACAGATCAGAGCAAATTGTTCAGCATAATCTCATGGTGTTAACTGTGACATCTGGGCAAACAATATTTGTTGCTGAGTGGGCTTTTGGTTGGGATTTAATAACTTCTGTTCAGTTTTGATTTTTTTTTTCGCCTCAACAGAAAGTATGTTTCCATGCATTTTTTGGTTTTGTTTTTGGTCTCATCAAATCCCCAAGATTAAAAGGAGGTATGTACAAAGGTCAAATTTCTGATGTTCTGTATAATCCACCTCTAGTAACATCCCTTTCTGTCCTAGAAAAAACTAAATCAAGGGACAAATAAATAAAAAAAAATATCCTTTTTCTTCCATCTTCCTCATAGTCTCTGCTTGAGGCAGATTGCAGCAGCTATTGGTATCTGTAAGGGTGTTGCTATCAAAGATGGGAAAAATAGTTATCAAGATTTTGTATTAAAGGATAAAGAAAGGGAAAACAAAAGTAGCCCCACATTATGAATACTAATGGCTTCTGGTGAAGGTCACACTGCCACTCTGTTAACTGCTAAAGGAAACACCAATCCTATTGTGACAAAAGCTCCCTGTCTGTACAGTCATCATGATACAGCTTGACTGTACCAGTATCATCACAAGAAAAATAAGTTTTTGTGTATTTCAGGGGATTGGGTATATTCTAAATTAGCCACAGCAACTCGGTTAGATTTGGGTATCTCAGAGCAGAGGGTCTCCCATGTGTCCCCTGCATTATATACAGCCCTTGCCCAGTCTCTGGTTTACTCCTGCTTCCCTATCTCTCATCCTCAGGAAAATACTTCCCAAGTAATAACAGGAGCTCTTTAGGACTTGTAAACTGATTCTCAAATTCATTTTTGGTGAGTGTTGCTGTGGTTGTAAAAATACACATGGCAAATCCAGCTGAACTGATTGTCCTTAACAATTTTACTGTGATTTCTAGCATTCTGGTGGCTACTGCAACTGTCCTATCATTTATTTATTAATTTGTTGGCTCCCAATGATCAGCTGTTGGGAGCCATTCTGAAATTGCACATTGTTACTATTATTTACATTGATTTTGTAAAAGATGTGGAGAAAGGGTGCAAGGCACAGAGAAAATAACACATGAAAAAACTTTATGTATATTTTTTTTAAAGGTTCAGAGATATATTGTGACATGGCTGTGTACTTGATCTTGTATTCGTCATGTTTCCTACTTGGAGTTTTAGATAATGACATCCCTGTGATCAGAATATTTTTTCCTTTTTTTTTTTTTTTTTTTTTTGCTACAAAATGTACAGTAAAAAACTTACCTGGGGAAAAAAAGTACCTGCTTTTCATTTGTTTGTTGCTCTGTGGTCTGCTTTGAAACCTAAGTAAGGAGGAGAAATTATTTTTTTAAATTATCTTGAAAATTTAGATGCTTACTTTCTCTTTTTCAAAAATTGTCTTTCACTTTAGCATTTTAGGTATAAAATAACAATCAAGAAATTCATATCTTTTTGGAATGCATTAGAAAAGATCTTGTAAAAAACATTTCACCTCTTTTTCTGTTGTTACATTCATACAGATCTATATTACTAATGTATTTTAAACCCTGATCCAAAATCTGCAGAAATAAGAGGTAGCCTTTTTTGACTAAGGTCCTGACTTTCTGGAGGTTTTTGCTCAGATTGTTGCTCATAAATACATTAATAGATTCAAAAGATATCCAGTCAAACTGTTTGAAGCGTTTTTCAAACCCTGGTCTTCTCGTGCTTTCCATGATGAATGACACCTCTAGTGCCAGAATCTACATAATCCAACTGTCCAGATGGCACCTTCATATCAACTATTAATAACATATACATTTATGTTGCACTAAAAGCTCTTACAGACATTCATGTAGTTAGTTATTTTCTTATCCTTGTTCCACTGCACTGTGGTTGGGCTTTTTTGTTAGATTGCTGCTTCACTCTGAACATGACATCTGGGTTGCTTTTAATTTAGCCATTAAGTTCATCCTCAATATTAGTAGTATATGAAACTGTGAGTTTTCAAAGTATATCCTATACTGTTTTCTTTCTCAGAGATGAATACTTCTTTTTCACTTTCTGATACAAGATTAAAGGAAATAAGCCAACAGATGCAGTTCTAAAATAAGGGATAGTTGCAAAAAAAAAAAAAAGGTAATAAATTCCACACTCTAACATCTGCACTTATTACTGTTAATCATGATATTAATTCATTTGTCTTTCATGAATGAGGCTCAATCCACATTTAGCTGATTTACAAATACTGAGCAAAATGAACCAGGAACCCAGCAATTATCTTTGGTGCTCACAGCATTTGGGAGGAAGAGAACTCAGGACCTATAGGTGAAGGAGGGCGCCCCAGATCAAGTCTGCAAGTGGTCAGCTCTGCCTGATTATTCTTCTGTAGCTCTTCTGCGTGGTAGAAATTCTTCCTTGTTTCGCTTCTGAGCACAACTGCACATCAGTGACTGGTGAAATGATATATAGATACCCACTTATCTGGGTGTAATAAATATTTTCACACATCATCGAGAAGCTGAGCTGGCTCCAACGGCCTAGTCCTCTTATCGCAGAAACCTACACTGAGAAATTTACACAGTGTTTCACAAGTTAATATGTGGTAGTGTGATGTGAAGCTGCACCAACTGTACTTTAGGGGCAAGTGTCAGGTAAAGTCAGGAAAGTAAGGAAAATAGCAGAGATCAACAAGAGACTTCTGAAAAAAAGAAGTCTGGGAAATTAAAGGTGTTTGAGAATTTAAAGTAAAGCCCATGGGAATAATTAAAGACATCTGCGTATGCATATGTAGCCCCTGTTAGGTTTTTGATATGTTTTATAATAGTGGAACTAGCTTTTTTCCTAAAAATATATGCCATTGACTTGAAAGATCAGGATATGATCCCACTGTGAAATTCTGCATACACCCCTGATAAAAAAACCCAACCCAAATCCCCAAAATATTATCCCGGAGAATATTAAACAAGATGATGAAATGGAAATTTCTGAAAGTAGTGATTATGGGGATTTCATTTGCTGTCTGCTAGGAACCAAGTGGTTTATGAAAAGAAAATAAAGTGCGTGTGTGTGTGTGTACGTATGAATAAGAAAGCAGCCCATACCATTTCCTTACATTTATATCCTAGAAGATTTCATTAATAGGAATTATCTACTGTGCAGGGCTAAGGGTTGGACCCTTGTGGGTCTCCTCCAACTCAGCATATTCTGTGATTTCAGGTTCAAATGTCCTGAGTATGCCAGCTCTAGAGAACAGTAAACTTTCTTAGAGGAAGATAACCCGTTCTATATGTCCTCAAACTACACCCTGTACTTTGTTACAATTTGGATTAATTCACTTGTAAAGCAATGCATAACAAAGAAAGAGAGTTACCTTTGCACTGCATGATGCAAGACTGAAAATGTGGTGTCTTTTCCTTTGCTAAACCTGTTTCTATCCCAGACCATGGGGTTGATCTGCTCTGGAAACAGGAGAAAATAATATTCCAGAAGACTCTGCTTGTTTAATTTCTCACTCTTCACCCAGCAAAGGGTTGCAAAAACAGTTGACCAAAAAGAGGTCTTGGAGATTTCTGAGTGTAAATAAATGCAGCAACAGTTTAAGCACTTTCTAACCTGGAGGGTAAGGAATAATTCCACCTGATAACCACGAAAATATTTAGGTCTTTGAACAGCCTGAATGTCACATCTGTTTGCAATACTTTGCACCCATTAAGCACCGGGTAACCCACAGTACACCATATGGTGCACAAAACACATCTTTCTACCTCTTGCAGCCTATTTCTCTGGAACCTTTTCCAAGTAATTCTCTGTGTTCAGTGTTTGTAATTTAATACTTGGGCAATTCTGGAAACGTAATAATATTCTGTGTGTGGAATTACCAAGGGACATTATTAGCATCTTGCATGTTTCACCTTTAAATTTCCCTAAACATGATGAGTGGATCCCTCCGAAAACATTAGATTTGGTTTTAGGCTGTAGGCCAGATAAAAACCCAATCAAAGAGTCCCTCAAAAACCTTACTTTCTATATAGAAATTTTATGTTCTGCAGTATGTTTTCCTTGCTCTAATTAATTACTACTTAATCCCCCAAGGTACAGCATTCCTTAGCTGCTGTCAAAAGGCCCTACTATACAAAACAGTGCCAGATGCTTATTCCCGATATTACACTCTCAGCAGATGGCAAATGTCAGAGATATAAATATATACCCAGATACAGATATATCAGCCATTGCATGTGTTTCTATTTGTGCATATATATGCACGTGCACACATTTATATGTTGCGCTCTTAATCTGTATGGTTTGTGGTATAGAGATTTCCTAGTTTGGTAATAAGGGAACATTTACATTTTTTATGAAGTACTAATGGGAGGAAGGGAGGGAGAACAGAAACTTCCTTTTATAAGAAGCAGATTAGTAGATAATCTGCATCTCATCCCAGCTGGGAGAGATCAGTGCTTCAAATGAACTTAATTGGAGGTGAAAGAATTCATTCGTTTCCTATGACCACAGGGAAGGCTCAGCTCCTACGTTAGGGCATTTATGCAGCTGATGCTCGCATCACATGCTGTAGATAAGTCTCCTGTCAATGAGGATTGGTGTTTTGCAGGGAGACAAGCAGCCATAGGGAGCTGCTCTGCATACACTGTCCCTGTTTGTGATCTTAAATGTGCTGACAATGCTGTACTTTAATTTGTTAGTGTGATTGTTTCTTGGGAGAGGGCAGCATTACATGTTATACTCAGTCATATGTGGAGCCTGGACACAAGGCTAGGGAAACTGGTGGAAAAGAGAAACATTGAAAATCAATGGCCTGTATTAGGAGAAAATAAATCCTGACTAAAATCCATAGTTCTTAGTTTGTAAATAGGAGAGGAAAATGTTCCATTAGTTATTTGTACAGTTACAGAGGTGGGTATCAACTTATGGTTAAAGTTTGCCCATAATATTTTTCATGCAATGAGAAATTGAATCGATATTTTCATTACACTTTTCAGGTTTCTTGTGTGTGACTACTCTATTTTAAATGTATTAACACTCCTCTTCTCTACAATGAACAGTGGAGGAACATTTTAATACTGAGATGTAAATTACTGCCTGTACCGTTTATGATTCAAAGATGGGTGTCTGAACAGGAAAAAGAGATTGCTGTTCCAGGGAAGTTGTTCCTCTTGGACAGTATTACTGGTACACCAGCATGAAATGTAGTATCTGAGAAGGGAAAGGCAAGGCTGCATGAAGGGAAATATCTACTTTATACCCTAAGACTTACTAAGACTTCAACAAAAATCTGAAGAGTGGATGTGTTAATCTTCCTTCTTTTGAACATAACTCAGAGTTGTGAAACTAAAAATAATTAGGCTCATAGTTCTGATGTGCTATATACACAAAAATGGTTCTCGTTGGACAGATGTGATCCGAGTATTGCTGCAGCAGAGAGCTGCATGCTGGGCATCAGTAGGAACTGGTGTCATGCACAAAGGCTGATGAAGCAGGATCTCCAGGAGAGGATCACAGGAGATGTCACAGCATGATGGGAGGCTTGGTGATATAGGAACAGGTTAGACCTGGCTAGTCCAATAAATTGCTCTTATCCTAGTATACTGTGACAGTGTTCAATACTAGTTATTTCAGAGAAAGCACCTCTAGGAAAACTTCTGAGAGCTTTGACAGAGCTCTGAATGATTCCTCTTGTTTTGGAGTTCCTGCCTCTGAGTCTGTCAAGCCTGACTTTAAAAAAAGCAGTCCTTGTCATCTGAGATTGGGTTGCCTGAGGCACTTGGAAATGGACAGGTGAGTATTGCAGAGATTATGAGAATATTCCTCATTTGAAAAAAGACCAGAGTGCACCTCCTGTGTGCCTCACTGTAGCTAAAAACAGAAAAAAGTGCACAGCAACAGCAACAACATTAAAACCCATAGCTACTTTACTAAATATGAAACTCTGTGCCATAATGCAAAAAAAAAAAAAATCAACAACAAAAAAACCAAAACCAAACAAAAACAAACAAACAAACAAACAAACAAAAAAACCCACCACCTCAAATAGTGACTTTCTCACATGTTTCTGAGAAAAAAAGGCAAGATATTTGTTCACACTTTCAGATATAGAATCATAGAATCATAGAATTAACTGGGTTGGAAGAGACCTCCGAGATCATCAAGTCCAACCCTTGATCCAGCCCCACAGTGATGCCTCTGGATATGCACATAATACAAAATTTGTATAGAAAAAATGTTTCATGGTCTAAGAGACCATTGCATACTATGTGTGATAGTATTTGGAGATGAGATAAGAAACACTCAGTACAGCATCAATTTGATCCTAAGAAACTGATGTTCCAAAATTTAAGGTCAGTATAAAATGTTGTTCTTTTTGTTTTGGTTTTTTTCCCTTGTTTAATACAAGGCCATAAATAATGGTTTTCTACTGAAGAAAACCCCAGTGGGATTGTGGACCTTTAAAGTTGAGTTGTGAGGCTGGTGCTAAGCTCAGTAGGTGCTTAAAAATGCAAACAGGCCTGGGGCCATTATTACAAATGCTTTTAACAGCTGCCAGAGAGCCTCGGCTTGCTATAGGGTTGTGCTGCTACACAAAGCCATCCAAAATGATGACACAGATTCAAACAATTGAAATATAGCTGCCTATAATAGGTTGAGTGTTGACTAATGGTCAGTACTGGTTAGAAGTGATGAATACAGAGGACACCAACACAGTTTTGGCTGCAACTTCTGGGTTACAGTTATCTGCACCTGCTGGGTGCCCAAATCACTGCGTTGCTGCCAGACTTGGCCACCCAGAGTCTGAGGGAGAAGCCACTTGGGTTGGATTTTGTTCACAGAGACTATCAAGCACAATCTTGAATGAGGGTTAAGGAACATTTCCCTCCTTGGGGAATTTGGGTATAGATGTCTCCAAGACGTCAGTCTGGAAGGAGGACCCCATTTCAGCCACCTAGGTCAGCCTGTGACAGCTTGAGTTTATTTGAGAGGGAAGGAACATATATCTCTAGCCTGGCCTTCTGGAACTCATCACCTCTGTCTCTTCCACCCCTCCAGCCCTCAACAAAGTTTCATTCCTCCTCTATTCCTTTTCTTAGTGATTTATCATTTGATTTCAGGCGAAAGGACATTTTATCTACCACACACTGCAGGAGAATTAACATAGCTGATTTGCTTCCTGACCATACTCTTTTCTCAGTTACTCTACTGCAACTTTTGCTTCTGACTGCAGTGATTGATGATTACAATTACAGTTGTTTGAATTATTCAGTGTAATAAGACAACCAGATGAACTGAGATCCTTCATCACTCACAAAATGAGGACTCAAATTTCCCAGGATGTATCTGTCATCATCCTCTAGTGTTCTTTCCATGGGTACAAGAACACAGTTCAGTAGTGGAGGCCTTGCTACCTTTTCACTTCTGCTTAGTATTTTGGAAGTGGTCGTTTCAGGATGATTTCCTCAGAACAGTCACAAAGCAAACAGATTTACTGACCATATATACACTGACTAAACAGACCCATTGGTTTGTCATTGTTCCAGCAGGATATGAAGTATAGCCCTTAGGAATATCAAACTGGTGACCCAGTTTTCAAACAGGTAAAAGATATTACTGTGTCAGATATGTTAGATTTGTTATTAATGTCACTATGTTTAAACTGTGTCTGGCATTAATATGGATGATACCAGGTGAAGAGCTTCAGAATTAATCTCTAGGGTAGGTAACCTAGATCTTATTTTAGTGAGGAGAGTATCTCCTACCCTTCAGGTGCCTTATCTTCTCCTGAATATTTCTGAGTATCTGCTCTATATGTTTAATAAGATGATTACTGTATATATTTATTTTATATATCTACATAACTTCATTCCCATAAATATAGAATGCAGTGTGACATGTTGCCATTATCCATAATACTAGTGGCATGTATAGATAGGGCATACTTCAGTTCAGAATGAAATCCTGTGCATTAGACCACATATCTCCCCAAATCAATCTAGAGTAAATATCCACTCTTATATCCCAAGCACAAACTTTAGTTGAAAAATTAGTGCTAAATATGAAATAACAACAGAAATATCTACATATACTTTCTGCATAAAACATCAAAGCCAAAATTCTGAACAGAGGTGGGTCTAAATTCTTCTGGTCTTAATCTCCCTCACAACCCCCAGTGTAACCTAACCAGTGCTAGAGACCTGCATAAATTACAGCAGTGCTACAGGTCTAAACTTCTGTCTCCTTTTCTGTCATCCTTATCTCACACATCAGGATTTGTTTAGCCGCCCTTCCCAAAAGAGCTGGGGATGAGCTTACCACAATGGTAAGAGTCTCCCTTGGATGTTTTGTCCTATCATTTTTTACTTGATACAAAGGAGTGGATGATGGAATGATGCTCTCTGTACCACCTCTGTTGGTGGTACCCAGCCAGAGTCAAATGTGTGTGGAGTCAAACCCAGAGAGAGTCAAACCATGACCCAGAGTCAAACCCAGCCAGAGTCAAAATGTGTGTGGTTTGCTCACCCCATATTATCTTCACTTCTTAAATATTTGTGTCATTTATTTTTCATTGATATGACTTCATGGGGAATGGTCCTTCTACCACTGTCTGTATTAGTGCACGGTACTCCCACATGAGTACAGGCATTCTCCATTCATTATTTGCTGTTTGTCATGTCCTCTTCATTACTTGACCATAGAAGAACTTATCCTCATCCAGCAAGGGACTAGAAGTAATAACATTTGTTTCACCACAAGTAGCTGTACAGGGAATGTAGCAGTTGAAATTAGCAATAAAACCATAAATCCTAAAATAAAATGTTCTTCTTCAAAAATATGTGAAAATGAGACTAAGATTTGCTAACATTAGGCAGGATCAGAAACAATTCACAAATGAAAACATAATAGAAATGAAAGAGTTCAAATTCATTAGATTATTTATTTGGAAAATATAAGCCTAAGAGCTTTAATGGTGAGTAAAAATGGAAATGATGATGTTTCCTGAACTGCAGAGCATCTACCCCATATACAGTCAGAGTAAGAAAGTCAGCTGTGAGGCTGACATAGAGTTATAGCATGCAGTTTGCAACACAAGACTGTATAATTTCTAAAAGGTTTGTGAAACTCCTGAAGGAGGAATGCATTTACCAGAACTGGGATTAACTAATAATAGTTAATGAAATTTGTATCCTAATTTGAAAGCATTTTCTTAAAGTCCCTGATGGAAGGGAAAAGGAAGGTAATGTGCTCAAATGAGTTTTGAAATAAATAAATTATTTTTAAAAAGGCTGAGAGTGGATTTGCAATCCAGACCTAATACTCGGTTTGCTCCTAGTATCCAGATTATAGGGGATTATCACAGATCAAACCCCCTTAACAGAAAGGAGCCTTTTAAATCCACCTCAGCATTGCCCTTATTAGGACTGAAGGAGAGAGGCTCCTTCCACTGGGAGGAAAGAAGCCCTTAATTCATGGCTTGTCAGAAGAAAGGCGCTTGCTTCAGCACTGAACCAGGTTAGTTATGGCCTTAATTTACACGTCCTGGTGGAAGGGACGATACCTTTAAGTAATAATGAACAAGTGTGCGTTGACAGAATAATAATCACGGATTGAAAAGGTTACAGCAGAGAAGGTGGTAAAGCGAAGTGCCTGCTTTAATTCCGCTGGGTGCCATAATACCAGGACTCAGGAGCTGCACTTACAATATAAAATAACATTAGTGTGGCAATTAGGACTTAATGGTTTGTGGAGAGAAGTCTGCAAGACTTTATAAAAACATCCAAATTAGTCTGTATTCAAGTTTTACTTCACTCTCACTTTTTTTTCCTGGCTGTATTGCCCTCTTCCTCAAAGGCAGAGTTCTCTTAGAACACTATGAAGAAATGCTAGAGATATCAGGACCACTTCTCAGTTTGTATATATGGGTATAATCTCAAGGACATTTCTGTCAATTTATTCAAACTGAAGAATCTGGCCTGGGGTGCCTCTGAATAAAGTTGCTGACCTAGAAAAACTCATTTTCTCCAGTGAGCAGACAAAAAACAAATCACTAGATGTATATTGACCTGGTGTCCTATTAAAAAAGTTTTGAGCTCTCTTAAGCTGCAGACAGCCTACAATCACTTAGAGAAATATGACTCAAATGGGAACTTTTAGAGTGAATTTAAACTCCATAAATTTTGTTAGGATTCTTTGCTGTTCTCAGAAGGAAGAAGTCACCCAGGTTTCTGGGAGATAATTTGGATTTCTTACAGTTTTCTTTGATTCTTGTTGGTTCCTGTCACCATAATATCAGGGTGTCAATGGCCTGGCAGTATTGAGCTTGGCAGAAAACCCTGGAGAGTATGTGGAAACTTCTCCATGTGTGGGAGCTTAGGTTTTTTTGCAGTGCTCTACATGGCACAAGATTTTGAACTTCTACAAAAATATATTTCTTCAATAGTCTTCATATGTGATACCCATTCAGCACATCAAAGAGTCAGTGGCTGACAGAGTGTGTATAAATCTCAGGCACCGAGGCAAAAATAGACAGCGCCAGTGTCTCCATTCCTTTCTGACCATTGCACAGTTCTGAAGAGCTGTCTAAAGACATGGTCCTCTGACCACTGGAAGGGTCTAGCTAATTTCCTCAAACTTACAGTAAAAACTGACAGAAGTGAAGCATGTCCTTGCCTCTTCATTGATCTCTCTTCCCTTTTCTTTCACACACATACAAATTTTCTGTTTCAATTTACTGTGCTTCTTACCTCTGGTAGATATGCTTATAAGACTATATATTCTCTGTCTGAAACTGAAAGCTCAGACACCACACACGTCTGTATTGATCCACATACCGGCACTGTAAGTATTCTATTATTTCCAGGGGAGATTTTAAACCACCCCTTTCCTTTTAGGATACCCTTTTTGTAGGTTTGGTGTGAAATAAAAAAACATATGTGCAGGGTTTTGTTTTCTTTCTTTCACTAAGCCTATGAAAATATACAGGCAATTTGGAAAGGTATGGAAAAAAAACAGAACTGAAAAATTCTTTACAGTGTGGGTGGTGAGGCACTGAAACAGGTTGCCCAGGGAAGCTGTGGATGCCCCATCCCTGGAAGTGTTCAAAGTCAGGTTGGGTGAGTTCTGTGTAACCTGGTCTCATGGAAAGCATCCCTGCTGTTTGCAGAGGGGTTGCAACAAAATGATCTTTAAGGTCCATTTCAACCTAAAACTTTATGTGATTCTATGAAATAGAACTGTGTGCTCATTCATATGTAGGTATATAAATACCTGTATACACACATCTATATAATAATTCTGCCAGACTTCAGGGAATGACTGTTAAAGTATTTCCATGGAATTTTCACTTTTCTCACCGAAGAAAAGTAAAATGGTTCAGGTCACAAAAGGGGACAGTGTCCTAGCTGAGAGGTTGAATGTGAACACATTGCACTAACAGCTGTTGGTCTCTAGTGCTGATCACACTAATCCTTCCTCACTAAATATCAGGGACTGTATGACACTTCATTCCCACCCCCAGTGGATGCCTCTTTTTAAATGAGACAAGAACTTTAGACACTGCCCCTTTAGGTATGTTTTCCTTCTTCATTTCTGTGATGAGTGGGCACCTAAAAAGTTTCAGGGATTAGGATGCATGATTTTGCTGCAAGACCAGTGTGAATCAGATCAATATGAGACAGAAAAATGAGAATACAGCAAGATAGAGTGGGAGAAGTGAGCTTCTCCGACTCGTGGGTGCAGCATGGCACTATGCATAGGTATCCTCATCTTCACATCTCATACATCCAAGTTACCACATCATCAGATACCTGCAGTTGGTAGCAGTTCTGTTGGGCTTCTCACCTCAGCTCCCTCCAGTATTCAAGATGTTGATGGGAGGGAATAGAAAATCCCTCTATATTCAACTAAAATGTAATGACTTAAGAATCAGGGATGCCTTTTAGGATAGCTGCTCCCTAATAGCTCTTCTGCTAATCAGCCATGAAGCACCAATCCAGGTTACACTCTTTTCAGCTTTAGAGAGCATTTTACAGAGGTGTGAGTAACAATATGATTGTGTATCAGGCTTGGTTTACATGAGGCTTTCCCATGATTTTCTGCCCTTCCACACTGTGGAGAAAAAGAGTGAAATTAAACTCAATAGCAATAAATGTATTGCATCGGTGTTGGATCTCTAATTTCATCCTCACCTGGTGCATTGGAGTTTGAATATTTAATTACTGAGTTTATTCTTTTCTCAGATACACCTTTTAACATGATATTCTGCTCTTCATTCTGTATGCCATGTGGGAAATGTGTATACACTCATACATATATATTGCTAATGTATTCTTTTAAGTGGACGCTTCTGAAGCAAGAGGGATTTATGTATTAAATACCAAAGAATTGCACTCCCTGCTTTGATCTCCGAATCAAGTGAAACACAGCAGATTTGCACAACACAATCACTTGCAAATTACCTCCCAGGGCTTCAGTGGAGATTGAATCCTAGAGTAGAGAAAGGTAGATTTGCCAAGTCTCCAGGAATTTGAATATGTTTTCTTGTTAACACATTAGGCACAAACTCCCTTTGCCATTGCTGGGTCAGCAGTTGAACACAGTGATATTTGGGTTACCCAAAGGGAGGGGAATCTGGTAGAGGGGATAGAAGATGCAGTTAGTTTTCCTGCTACAGTCTACAGCATCATAAGAGTAGTTATCTCATGGAGAAAAGAGAACAAACACAGTATGATGGCCCATGTTCAGCACTGCAGTATGCCAGTGATACAGGATATACATTTACAGCTTGTATTTTAAAGCAGCATTTATGCAGAAATATCAAGATTTATTTGTCCAGAGTATCAAAAAACCCTTAATACCTAGAAAAATGTCCCCTGTCTTTTTGGATAATGACTTTTTGGATAATATTGTGTCATATTTGTGGTCCCACAGTACTGAATCCAGTCTGTTTAGACCTATCTGAAAAGCTGGACCTGGTGCATGAATCAAGAACAGTTCATTCTTAATAGGGGGGGACTCTCTGGTCAAACCTTGTTAGTGTTTTTTTCAATTCTGCATTATGTTCATATTCTTGTTAGAACAGAGTGAGCCTACAAAAATATATAGGCCACCTGATAATAAATAATAAGATTTAGAAAAGCAACTAGATTATTGAGTCTGATTGCTTTTCAAATCTCCAAATCCAGGAGGTGACCCAGGAAGTATTTACTTAACACTTAAGACATCTCATTGTCATGTGTATCTGCCTCCTGGTCTCATTTAACATGTCCTCAATGCTACATGAATAGGAGACTTAAAACACTGTCTTGCATCCTTAGTCTTTGACCACTGTTAGCATTTCTGTTCTGTTGGACCAAGGGATTTTTTTACCCTCCAAGACACAGATCATACACATACTTAATTTTTTTTTAATAGGTGACCTTACATTGAACAATCCATGTCCAAAATCACAAACTAGCCTGATTTCAGGTTCAAATCTTATCTCTTTGAGCATGATCACCCCATGATCTTCAAGCACTGACAGGTGACATGCAAAACCAAGCTTAGAATCATATGTAGAGAAGAAAAAAAAAGAAAGAAAAAAAAGAAAAAGAGAGACTGCTTTAATTACTGTGAACAGACATTGAGCTTGAAATTCTTAGTATATTTTAATTCTATGAGCTATTCAGATACTGGATTGATTGGAATAGAGTAAGTACCTGGTCTGAATCCATAACATTGTTAGGTCTGATTTCTAGCTGAATTTTTTTTTTTTTCAGTAAAAAGGTTATATGTTTCATTTAGATAAATAATGATAGGATATTCAACTATTCTTGCTTGCATGAAAATTCTAAGAACAGTCACTCTGTATGCTTCAGGGCAAAAAATGGACCCAATGTCAGTGATTTTTATCATGACACTGTTATATTTGGTGTCTTTCATAAAGGTCCTATACTTACATTATTCTGACAGATTGTCAGCTTCCATTAAAAAAAAAAGTTTATAGCCTTCCTGACTGTGGCAAAAAACTTCCTGACTAAATTTGAAAACCAGAAGGTAATTCAAATGCCAAATTTATTATTCTAGCACAATAATATCTTGTGATTGTGTTGGAGTGAGTCTTGCTCATGACTATAGAAAACTTAAGGCCATTCATCCAGTTTGTCAGACTGGGTCTGAAGGAAACAAAATCCTTTCTCCCTTCAGAATAAAGCCCACTTTATGTGCACCCCACTGACTTTGTCTTTTACAGTATCTGGCAGAGCCAGCTGCCAGCTCTAGGAGACTGAAACTATAGATTTCAAGAGACCCACTAGAGCAGTCATTCCTTCTCAGGGCCTGCTAGGGAAACCCATCACCAGCTCTTCCAAGGGTGTGCTTAATCCAATCCTACAGGAGGAAAAAGCAAGTTAACGCCTCGCTTCTCACTGTCAATTCAAGGTCACCTCTCAGATGAGCATCACACTTTGCACCTGCAGCTCCTTGCTTCACTGCGTGCTCCAGCCCCCGTGCACGCTAATCCATTAACTGGATAGCAGCCCTCCTCCACATCCTGCAGGTCATGGGATTTTAAGGTAGAAAATAAGGTTTAAGATTAACTAACCTCCTCCAGATGATTACAAACAACAAGATGAGGCAGGATTTTGAAAAGATGCTGTGGACTCCTGCAAGCAGGGGACACAGCAGGGGACCCTCCTGCCCTTCCAGTTGCATGGGTGGGTGAAGACTGCCAAGCCAAGGGGGAGCAGGCACTGGCACTGGCAAGGCGATGGTCAGGCTTGTACTGCAAGTGGCCACATGCACAGCTCTCTGAGCCATCTGCTCTGAATTAGACTGGATTAAAAACACAGCATAGGCAAATCCCTTCTTGCTGTTTGTGTGACATAGATTTACCCCATGTGAAATATGGCTTAGAGGAAAGGACTGCCTCTCTCACCTGCTAGGGAGAGGCAGTGAACAAGAGGAGCTTCTACAGTCATGTAAAATAAACACCTTCCCTAAATAAGAGGTGGCACTTTGGCAGGCATTCTTTGTTTTGATAGTCCCAGCACAAAGTGAAAAAAAAAAAAAATGAGGACAAGTACCAAAAGCTCCATGCAAGATTCTCTGTGGGCAAGAAAAGACACAGGCAGACAAAGCAGTCAGTATGAATAGCAGTGGATTTATAATCATTTTATAGAGAGATAGGGAACATCAGAGGACTGGACAAATCTGAGGCAATATGTCCTTAAGCACCATTCCCATCATATCTCTAAAGAAGACAAATATCCATTTTGTTCCTGGCTTTCCTAGGTGGTTGTCTTGGCATGGGAGCAACAAAACCAAAAAAAAAGAAGAGCTGCAGAACAAGCCTGTTGTCAGGGTTTCAGGAGCCTATCCTTTTATCCAGTTCACCATTTTGCTTTGTTTCTGCATACATCTTGCTCTCTGAGAGACTGTCATGACCCCAGTTGTCACGACCCACCATGGCTGCCCAGCACTCAAGTTTGTGAGGTAGTAATTATGCTTACTTACAATTTCTACACCTATACAATGGCCCTTGGACCGGATTAAACTTTGCTTGTTTCTTTTCTAAACAGCGGCTGGCTCTGCCTTAAAGATGTCCACTTTTCCTTGTGAATGAAGCACGCTGGAAAACATAAGGGAACAATGAAGCAATATTTACAAAGGTGCTGGTCTCTGTGTTTAGTTTAGAGAAACTAAAAAAATACAGTTCCAAATGAAGTCAAGCCCTGTTCCTGCCTCCCTAAATGATATACAGACTAGAGTGTTCTTTTCGACATTACTTGCACTCACAGTTCAATTCTTTTAAATTAAAGCTCTCCTTGCCTTTACAATATTTGGAAGCAAAGAAGAGGGAACGGTGAACCCAGTGCCATGCAAGAGACTGAAGCAAAGTTGGAACAAATGCAAATAGAAAGAGAGAACAAAAATCCTACAGATAAAGGCAGAGACTAAAGA